CGACCTGGAGGACAACATCTTTCCAGCGATCATCAGGCTTTGCAACCGAGCGGCGCAGACCTCGGAGCAGCAGACGAGGCTGCTCCACCACCTGCGCCCGTAGGAGGGTCAGGAGCCAGCTCATCATCCAACGCTGGAGCTCGGATCGCTGGCTCGGGCGACTGTGTCGCTCGGCTGGAGATCCAAGCTAGATCAGCATCAGGCGCAGAGCCTCGTCGAGCAGCCCAGCGAGTTGCCTGCGCAGGTGAAGGCCACCTGCTGCCCTCAGACTGGACTCGCTTCGACGTCGCTATATCCTTACGAGCACCTCGTGATGACTCGCGCGAAGCACGCGCGCGGGAGCTGCGCGGGCTGGACTTCCAGCGGCGGCACGCCACCAAGGAGTAGATGACATTACGAGCAGCCAACATACTGCAGGACGTCCAACCCCACGGCGGTCAACAAGTGCAGGGAGTGTCGCAAGCGGCTACCGCCAGCGCACCAGACCATCCCCACCCTCCGCCCGTCGATGCGATTCGACCAGCACGTCGAGTGCGACATCCCACCTGATATGCTGTGCTTCACGGTGGCATAATGGTCGGGAGGTCATGTCCAAGCGCGACTCGACGCAGCTCGCCGCCATCGACCCTTCGTGGGTCCATCTGTTCGGCCCGATGGAGACTTTGACCGTGGACGGCGAGGGCGGGGTGATCTCAACGCATGTCGTGGAGGAGAAAAGAGGAGAGAAGACAGGTTGACATACGTGCTCCGCGCCATCACATTCGTTTCGTCGAGCGGCGTGGGGTCATGTTGCGACAAGCACCTCGCGCCGCGGAGGAGCAGCTGGAGCGCGAAGGCATCGCGGCGAACTTCGACTCCATGCTGGCAAGTGCCATCTTTGCTGGCAACAGCCTCACCCGCGTGGACGCCGCCACGCCATGCAACGTCGTCTTATGACGGCAGTTGCCGATGCTGCCGTCACTCGAAGCAGACGAACAGGGCGAGGCATGCGGCGACTCCGTCGCTGGTGCCGAGCCCCCTGCTGTCGGGGGAGTGCAACCCAGCCGACCACAGCGGCGCATCCGAGAGATAGCCCTGCAATGCATGATCGAAGCCACATCGGTCGCACGCGTCAGCTGCGGCCTCAGGGCCCGCGCCACCGAGTCCAGGGAGAGCCGCTTCAAAGCCGCCAAGCACCAAGGATGCGTCAGGCTGGGCGTGCCCTGGGACAGTCATGTTTGTAGACCCGGCTCGAGGCAAGGTGGCGGTCAAGCACCGCCGAGCCGAGATGGTTCGCAGACAGCGAGACGCCCAGGCTTGCATCGGCGCCGTTTTCGACGAGATGAGACCGGCATGGCACGAGCAAAGTTGGCCTGGGGCCGCGTGGCAGACTACCTTGAGCACGTGACACCACGCTCCAGGGCCAGGACCTTCCACCGGGAGGGCGCCAAGGGCGCGCAGCTCACCGAGCAGGCGCGACAGTGCCCAGACGTCCTCGAAGACCTGTGCCAGTTGTCCCAATATGCTTTCAATTACCTCACGTTCGCGCTGCACGACTCATGCGCGGACAGAAATTTGCGGGCATCCTGCCTGGGCGCACCTGCAGCCTGGCCATTCGGTGGTCCCTCGGACCCCGACCGACGACCAGCAGATCCACATCAACGGGGTCACGTTCGACGCCCGCTAGCTCATCGGCGAACAATGGCAGGAAGCTCTCGCGTCATCCAGTATCTTGGGTGACGAACCGTCAGTTGTGACAGGCGCCTGACTGGACCTGGACAGAACGCTCGATGACTGCGGCATTGACTTCCCCAAGGACGCCGCCAGCACCACCGAAAGCGGATCGCCATCAGCCTTGTCGGCTACATCGGGGGAGACCGACAGCGACTTCCCTGGCCACGTCCAACAGGCGACGTTGGCAGCTTGGCACGAAATCGAGGGGGCAGAAGATTTGGCCCAGGAAATGGAAGAGCTGGAGCGCGCCGACAGCCAGCAAATGATCTTCGCTGCCGTTGAGCACGCCGCGGTGGACGTAGGCCGCGGGCCACGCGAGTGGCCCCCAGCATTTCGAGACGCAGCGCCAGCGCCATATCATCTACGCGCAGTGCCACTACTACTTGCGCGGGGCCTCCACGGACGACTGCGCCACGCCAGAGGATGAGGGCGATGTTGGTAGACATGTGAAGTTCTATATTGATCTAGGGGTGCGCGGGGGTTCCTGAGCGTCAACAAGGCTGCGCCCGGCGACTGCGTCGCCGGCGCCCTTCAGACAGCTGCGCTCAATATGCGTGCCGCCGCCGAGATCGCTGTCTTCAGGCGCGACGCCGACCTTTTGTCGAACGAGGAAGTTTCGAGGCTGTCAAGGGAGAACGCAGCAGCCATGCTCGAGGAGCTCACCATCTGGGTCAAGTACAAGTGTTTCGAGAGGCGGCCGTTCAAAGGCGCCCGAGACGCAATGGGCCCAGACGCGTCTTCAAGTGGAAGCACTGGGAGGGATCTTGCAGCAAGATCGTCAGGATCATTTGGCACCACGTGGCGCTGCGGCACTTCCGCGACATGGACGCCGGAGCCTAGCGGGCATTCGCTCGGACAGCGAAGCGGGCGTCTCGGCGCCTACTATCCACAAGGGCGGCACGTCGCCCTGACCGGGCGGCGCGCCGCCGCGAAGCTCGCCTGGGTCACGCGCTCGCCCGAGCGCAGCGCCAAACCTGCCGCGCGGGACCCAGAATTTGAGGTCAAGCGCGTGGCGTCTGGCAGTTGCGCTGCCGGCGTCTCGGAGGCAGTGGTCACTTTGCCTGAGCACTTTGACGATCAGAGGATCGCTGGGCACAAGGAGCACCTCGACCGGCTGATCAGTCACATCGGGAGCTTTTCGGCAATATGCAGCGCGACTGCGACGACTTCACCAATTGCGGAGCGCACTGGCACCGCAGCGCCGACTGCGCGGTGACGCCCGACCAGGACGAGAACATCGACGCCATGACACCGATCAGACACGTCGACCTGGTCAGGGCCAAGGCTGTCGTGCCTGCAGGAGGTCAGCCCCCCGACCTCTCTGTCCCCCCTGGGAGCAGCGGCCCGCGCCCTGCTCGCCCAGCACCGCGTCGCAGCGCGCGTCGCCCTGCAGAGAGCCGAGAACATGCCGCTCCGCCGACGCGCGACGCAGCTCAACTCAGTTGTTCTGGCCGCGCAGAAGATCGAGGCGCACGTCGCGTTTTCATCAATGGAGTGTGCCGAGCGACTTAGCGCGCGCAGCGACGGGTCCTTCGCGGGAGAGGAGTCAGGGTGCAGCACGAGAGGGGCCGTATACACGCGTCTCGGCAAGCGCCGCCAGACCGGTAAACTGGCGCGCCATCTGCTGGGCGCTGTGAGCCGATCGCACAAGCTCGCGTGCAGATCCTCATCCGGCTTCGAACTGATCGCAGCACGCGGCGGGGCAGAGGGTCTGCGAGCGCACCCACCCGCGTTGCACGAGGCGGTGCACGGCCCCGCCTCTGCCAAGGAGATCAGAGGGCTCAGGGGGGGGGGGGAAGGTTGCGCGATCCCTGCTGATCTCGCCATCCAAAGCACGTCCGTCTTCAGCGCTCTGCTCCTGTTCCCAGTCCAACCGCCGTCCGAAAACAGCGCGGCTCGCCGCCAGTGGTGGTTAGCGGACCGGCTGCGCACCAAGCAGATCGATGACTTGCATTGGTGCGACACTCAGAACACGCGGGCCGACCCCGTGACCAAGGACAGCATGGGCCGAGAGCTAATCCTAAGCGAGATGGACGGCCAAGCCAGCTATGACCACGCCACGGTCAACTTCGTCGACGAGAAGCTAAACAAAATCGCCCCGAGCTCACAGCATAGCTCAGTCACGAAGAAATAAGGGTATGACTCTTGTGCCTGCGTCACGAGATCACGGAGGTGGAAAGTAGATTTACTTCCAAGAGCCAAGTTGGCCCATAGGGGGTGGGGCGCGTGCTCCGACACTTGCGGAGGCCAGCCTGCGATATTGACGAGGTGAGCACTCAAGTGAGTGGGCTTGCGCGGACTGTGCCCGTGCAGCTCGCGGTTCAGTGGGGGCCGCTCTTTAAATATTCTCGCATTGTAGAGGTCAGGGGTGCTCTGACTAGTTTCAGGAGCTCTGTCAGGAGTAACATAGTCCCTGCCATTAATTGGCGCCGTACAACAAAGGGCGTGTGCGGCTGACGCCTCGTGGGGGACAATGTGACAGTGAAGTCTGACAATGCCAAGAGATTTCGGAACCACGCGAATGCGTCCTCTCGCGGCCAAGCAACTTTTTGTGAAGGGGCGGTTCGTTGAGCATTCCTTTATACTGTTCTACCACGTGCGTGCATGACGGACGGGTTTCAACGCCAGACTCGAACGGTAGCTCACCTGTCCCATCGCACCTATTCCCGTTGTAATGGTCTCCATTTGCCGACGCCGCTTTCGCTTTAGGGCGTGGAAGCTGGCCAAACCCCCGTGTTTGCTTTATTCGTGCCTTATACGTACCGCCTTATTCATCCGCTTACGGAAGAAATTGTATCCCTTCTTACATCCTCATTTCTAGTCCTTTTGTCCCTGCTTCCACTCCCCACCCCGCTATTGCACGTCCCTCCGCCGCCCCCCGCTCCCTTCCCCCTCTCCCTCATTTCCGACCGTTTCCTCTTCTCCCCCCCCCTCCCCTCTCTCGGGGAGGAGGGCCTCCCCTCTCTCGGGGACGGGGGGGGGGCGGATGAGGGAAATGGGGGGAGAGGGGGCCGATCGCAGCAGCACTGGAAAGACTCTACCTACCGATCACATCGTGATTTGCATCGTCACATCGTACAGTCGGTGCGCTGAAGAAGGAACCCTTTTTGTTGTGGAGGGGCTTCGTGCCCCTTAATTGTTTCACGGCTTGCCTCAGGGTTTCCGAATGTTTTCGAAGGGGAAATCGAAGTTTAAATTATGGAAAAAAGGGGCCTCGTTCCTTATTTAGGGTCCCTTAAGTCAACGCCCCGACTGTAGCTCGTCCGAAAGGGCGGCCCCTTCCCGAGGACCATCCGCGCCCGCAGCCCCAGCAAGGACCCGAGCGGCGGCCGCCGCCCGAGCGTCGGCAGCGCCTACGGGGACCACTTCCGCCCGAGCCCGGGCCCCGGCCGCCAGCCCGCACCCCCGGCTCCGGACTCGGGCCGGGGCGGTCGGGCGGAGGTATGGCCGGGGCCCCTTCACACGACGCGAGGAGGAGCGCTTCGGCGAGGAGGAGGAGGCAGGAGGAGGAGGAGGAGGCAGGAGGAGGCCGGGCCGGGGGCCTCGAGGCGGGGGCCAGTGCAGACGGGGGTCAGCCAGGGCGCCGGATCCTGCAGGACCCTGCGAAGACCCCCTCCGGCTGACCCGGGTTAGCGGGCCGCTCGTGGCCGCGAGGCGGCCGCGCCTGATGGCTGACCCGGGTTTGCAAGGACCTGCGTTGCAGTTTTTTTCCTTGCATTGCAGTTTTTGGTTTCCTGCTGACCCGGGTCTGGATTGACCCGGGTCAGAAGATCCCCGATATGAGGCAGGGGGAGCGGGGGTTCGGGTTCGGGGTTCGACGTTTTCGTCGGCTCTCAGTTTGTCCAGCTCCGGGATGCCTTCCAGAAGCTGCGCCTCGTCGAGAGCGTTCTGGGGGCTAAGCCCACATCGTCCCGAAGGGCCGCCGGATCCGGCGGCCCTTCGGGACGATGTGGGCTAGGACCCGGAAGCGAAGGAGGGGGCAGGTCACCACCCACCAAACCACCCCAACCCAACCCGAAGGCTTCAAATCGACCCCCATTTCCAGTGGGGGGGGGGATCGGGGAACATCGAGAAAACACATATGGAACCCGTCCCCCCCCCCAACCCGAAATTCGGGCCTTCGGGCTGGGTTGAGGTGGTCTGGTAGGTAGTCAGCAGGGGAGAGCGGAAGGGGGGCGGCGCGGCGCGCTGTGGTCTTCGCGCCCTCGCGCCGCCGAGCCGGAGAAGGGCGCCTCTCTCGGCGTCGCTCGGACGTGTGCGTTTTTCCTTCGGCGAGGGCCCTCGAGGAGCGCCCTTGATCATCCAACGGCAAAAACCACGCACGAGACCGACAAAAAACACAGGGAATGGACGTCCGAGCGATGGCCACAGGGGAGCGAAAAAGGGGGCGGCGCGGCGCGCCGTGGCCTTCGCGCCCTCGCGCCGCCGCCGCCCCGGAGGAGCGCGCGCCGCTGTGCAGCCTGGGCCACGGCGCGCGCAGCGCCGTCCTCTGCGCGCCCTTTACACGGTTGGCCCGACCTCTTGGTCGGCGGGCGCGGAGGGAGGGCGGTTCTCTCCTCCTCCTCCTCCTCCTCCTCCTCCTCCTCCCTCCTCCTCCTCCTCCTCCTCCTCCTCCTCCTCCTCCTCCTCCTCCTCCTCTCCTCCTCCTCCTCCTCCTCCTCCTCTCCTCCTCCTCCTGCTCCTCCCCTCCTCCCCCTCCTCCTCCCTCCTCCTCCTCCTCCTCCTCCCTCCTCCTCCTCCTCCTCCTCCCTCCTCCTCCTCCTCCTCCTCCTCCTCCTCCTCCTCCTCCTCCTCCTCCTCCTCCTTCCCCTCCTGCTCCTCCCCCTCCTCCTCCTTCCCCTCCTCCTGTTCTGTTCTGTTCGACGGCATTAGGGGACGATGATCCGCTGCCCGCACAAGAATTCAGATGTGGCGCACTTGCGAATGGCTTGACCTTAGACACCGACCTGTTGGGCCTCACAATACGGGTCAAGTGGACAAAAGAAGCACGCCAACGTTTGATCGAGAGGGGGGTGACGGGTCAGGTCGACACAGCTCCGCGGATGGACCTCACCCCTCTCTCGAAGCTCCTGGCAGGCGAAGGTGACAAAATGTCGGGCCAGAAACATGCAGAGTTCGGGAGGCAGATGCTTGTCCGACTGGGTCTCCCAGCGGCCGTTGACATCGCCTCTCTCCGAAGTGGTGTGACCTCCGTGGCTGCAGCGTCCTCTGTTCTCCATTGTGTGGACTTCTCTGCGCACGGAGGGAATATTCACAGTCAGGAGCATCGTCGGTTTCGTCATTTGCGATCCGAACATACACTGGTCAATCCAGACCGTGTCGACGTTAAAACCCATCGATGACAAGGTCCGCATGTGGCTAGTTTCCTTGAGAAACCAACTCGTTGGAGCAACCTGATTCGACGGGCACGCAGGGTGTTCAAGTATGCCACAGGCACCCGAAGCAAGACAAACGTACATGAAATAAAGCGCAGCACGATAAAGATCATTGGCTGTAGAGATCTGGGCCCACTCTCTGGGAGTGGCTAGAGGTCGGCCCCATTCATGCTGTAGAGACCGAAGCGATCTAGCTCCATGGTCTCTGGGGTCCTCTAGAAGTCGTGCTGGCATGCTGGTCTCGCTGGGGGGTCTGGCGAGCACTCCTATAGCGAGACCTTGGAAAACAAAAGCGGCTAGTTTGATGCGAGAATTGTGTATCCTGAGATCGCCATCGACATCATTATGTGCGATGTCGATCGATAAAACAGCTAGGGGCCCCGTAGGTGCCTCGAGAGCCTGAAAGAGCTCTACGCAATGCTGAAAGTCTTCTCTCTCTCCGCAAAAGAGATAGAGAACATTCCTCGTTTCACTAGGCTGAATCCTACGCGGGCTCGGAAGGGCTACCCCTTCGGCCTCGGGGAAACAAACGATGGGGGTGTAGGAGGAGCGGAGCAGAGGAGGCCCAAGACCATCCAGGGCAGAATGGAGGGCGTCACCAGGGTCCTCGGGGCGGGCGGGAACGTCGGCCTCAGTGGCACGCATACCCTTGGCCTTCAGAGAGGCCACCAAGGCGCTGTCATCTTCGCACAACTCCCTGTATCTCGCATCAGAGAGGGGATTCACGTACGGCTCCAAAGCTCAAGGCATCCCGTGCGGGCATGCCTTAAGTGCTTAAGGAGGCGAGGTCTCGTGACAAAGTCAACTCCACAGGCGAGGCAGTGACCCGTCTCAGCAATTCTGCCAGCAGGGTCGTCATGCTTCTTGGTGATGTGCGAACGCATGGCACCTTCGTGGAAACACTCATACTGGCAGGTGTCGCAGACGTATTTCGTGACAGGCTCGAGAAGCGGAGCGGAGTCGGGAGGCGGAATGGCGTGAGCCTTGCATGTGTTGCCCAACTCCTTTCTCCACAACTGTAGCCGGTGCTGATCTGCCTGCCATGTTTTAAAATTACGTGCTGCGGTCCTGCAGATTCTTTTCCAACGGGCTGGGTCGGCAGACGCTTGCAGCAACAACTCGCGGGCAGAAAGAGTGTGAGCTTCTTTAAAATCATAGAACTTCTGCAACCAATCAAGATCTTCACGGATGAGCGCACCCCAAGACTTCTTACGTCGGCCTTCCATATCGAGGAGCTGACGCAGCTGCTGCGGGGCCGAAGTCATCAGCCTAGCCAAGTATCGAAGTCGCGTGAGGCGCAGGACGTCAGGAACAGCGAGCCTGTTGACATCGAGCAGAACCTGCTCGTTCGCAACATGCGGCTGGTCAGGACGTCCGAGCCGTATCCCCAGGATGGTCCTGAAAGGAGTCAGATGAGCGGCGATCATCGCTTGATGTTGCTCCCTGGACAACTCCCCCCAAACGTGGGCTTTGTAGAGCAACCCCGAAGTACAGAGAGCGTCGACGTATTTAGCCCGAGTCTTGATGGGTAACCTTTTAGCCTTGAGAATCGTCCTACGAAGAGGTCCAAGACCCGTCTTTTGTTGGGTCCTACGGTGGGCCAGCTCTGGGGCAATGCTTCCACTCTGGGTTAACATGGTACCGAATACTTGTAGGACCTCTGGAGGAAAATTTCGTCGTCGTAGCGGGTAACATAAACAGGGTCAGTAACAGGGAAGAGGTCGGCCTTGACTGCGCGAGCTCCCTCGCCCCGTGGGTGAACCAGGAGCGCTGATTTGCCTTTTTTGAAATTGATGGTCATGCCTCTCTTGAGCGTGGCGTTGCTGATGGTGACTACCACGTCAGACATCGCCTGAGGGAGATCGGCAGCACTTTGAACCACAGCCATGACACAGAGGTCGTCAACAAAGGTGCTGTCCGCGAGACAATCGGTCTCAGCGTCCTGGGGCAACGAAAAGAGAGGGTCCTGCTGGGCGTCTAGCTCAAGCAGGTAGTTGGCACAGCTGAGATCCTCACGAATTTCGCGCACGATGGGCACGAAGAGAAGATTGAAGACGAGGTCGGCAGGCGAGCTGCCAGGACGGCTGCCTGTAGTGGTACGGATAACTCATCGGGGCCCTTCGGTTTTGAACCAGGCGCTGGTGTGAAGATCCGCCAGCATTCTTAACAGGTGAGCATTGTCGATGCCCGCCAAAACCGAAGGTTGGGCGATAGTGTGCCCCAGGATCGGCACCAGGGCCTCGGGGATATCGGCGGCGTCGATAGCGTCAGCTATGTCCTGGGGATCGCGAGGGAAAGGCATGACAATGGAGCGGATAACCTTGTAGAAAGCCGGCTTCAGATCGATTAAAGCAAGCCGTGGAGAGGCCTTTGGCGCAGGTAACAGCCGAGAAAGTGCGAACCATATGGGTCGCCATGTCGGTCCCTTTACATTGGGCCCCACCCATTTGGGTCTCAATAATGAGACCCGAAACAAGCGTTTTAAACTGGTCCCTCAAAAACTTGTGATGGTGCTTGGCAACATTGTTCACCAGGGGGATTTGACGATAGCTCTCGCGCATCGCCGCGCTGCCACTGTTCTTATACAAATCATGAGCCCACCCTCCCTTGAAGGCAAGAGGCTCCTGGGTATGCATGCCCGCCTTTAAGATGACTGGGCGCACCAGACGAGCGGTCTCGGCAGGTGCGCAGCGCAAGAGGTCGTCGACAATGTCATCTGGCCCTCCAGCCTTGCCAGAGGTAGCCTGCGAGACCGAGAAACGGAGTTGGTCCCTAGTCATCAGTTTTTCGACGGGGCAAGCGAGCGGGGGGGGGGCGATCACGATTATCTTCGCTGTACTTGTCACAAAGCCCTCTCTCGGTGTAGAGGGTCCCGCCTTCGACTCCCGCAAAGTAGTCTTGAATCGGGTTGGCCACCTCGGCTTTCGTCTGAAGGGGGCATCCGTCGGGGCCGTTACGGATGGGGAGCGCGCCGCTCTGATGTTTCATCCTGCGTCCTCCG